CCCCCCCCCCCCAAACTGCGCAATGCTGACCCTGAATCTGCCTCTAAAATATACTAGATGGCAAAAATGATTCAGGAGTACAATTTTGCGTCTTTCTCTCCTGAATGTCATTCATTTTTTTGGCAGGGTGTTGCTTGATCCATTGGATTTACCTAGTGATGGAAGAAGAGGGGTATGGTGGAAGGGAGGGAGGGAGATAAATAATTTGGCTTTTGAAACTTGCATTAGCTTTTCACTAAAGAAGGGAAGGGAAGGGAAGGGAAGGAAAGGAAAGGGAAGGAAAGGAAATGAAAGGAAAGAAAAAGGAAAAGAAAGGTAAGGAAAAGAGGACGCGACTAGCTTCATCCTGGTGCTCGGTTCTTCGTGATTCGTGTTCTATTCTGGTGAACATGTTAAAAGCCACCTCAGAGTGGATTTCAGAAATTTCCTCTCACGTAAATTGCTATCTGCGTTGAATTTTGAAAGGGAAAAATTTTGTTGAAGGTGTTCAAAGTCACACCCTCTTTATTGGATTACCAAAAGTAGTGCAAAATAGTCCAGATTTTTTTTGGAGAAGTTGTCTGCTTAAAACCCACTTAATCAACTACTGATGAAAGTTTGTGAACAATTTTCTCGAGAAAAGCCTGGAGGAAAAAAGTCTGCAACAACGTTGCCATGACCGTTAGATAATGTTGCTGCAAGCTATGCCAGAACGATGCTTTACGTGTGGAGGAAGGAAGTAAACTGTAATGATAGTCCAGTCAATAGAGCACAAATAGGGGCTAAGTAGAGACAATTTCTGAGGAAACTTTCTGATATACTATTCCTATGTATTTTTCATCGCTGAATCCGAATTTCACATTTGCGAACAAATCTGAGGCGAGCCAAAGCCGCCATCTTGAAAAAATGGCCGAAATTTGCGTTTTTCGGCCGAAAAACCGAAATAACTCGTATATTATTGAAATTACGGCAAAAGTAGTTATTTTCTAAATTAAAGTACATAAAATTTCCATTATAGAGAGTCCAAGATGATTAAGATCGGATGATAACAAATGCCGTTACAGCGTTGCAAAGTTTCAGGCAAGTATTGAGGTTGAGCAATTTTCGTAACACTCCCTGCAAAAAGAGAGCTTTCAAGGCAACTAATCATTAAATCGTAATAAGTGTAAGTATGAATTATAAAAGGAGTGCAATTTTGAGTTCTTGACTTTCAAGAACGGCAGTGGATAAGGGGGGGGGGGGGGTCCGGTATGAGCGCAGCTGCAGGGTCCTCCGTTCCTCCCCCATTTTCATGGCCCGGGTGCGCCCGGTCGCCCTTCGTTCCTCGGTTATCAGTTTTTCTGTCCTCCACAGGCACCTTTTCCGGAGGAAAAAAACTTGATGTGCCTACGTTTAGGTATATTCGCTGATAACAACAATAGCTGCCACCAAGCCAAAGAGACAGGCACTGCTAGCTTGTCAAAAATATAATAGTGGGTCTAAATTTGTTTAAATTTGTTTGGTCTAAAATTGTGAGTCCGTTAAGTTTAAGCGCGCCGTCAGTTGTAATCCAATCAGCAGTATGAGGAGTTTAATTTGAGTTGAAAACGATGTTGTTCCAATAAACCCTCTCTTATTATTTCGGAGTTATTAAAAAATCAGATGAGGAGCTTCAAAATTTTTAGTCGCACGAACTTCCACCCTATCCACTCTCGCTATTTACCGCAGCAGATGGCATGCGTAAAGTTACTATGTTCACATTTTATAATGCATTCACACCATGTCATGGTTCCCCCTTCGCCTCATTGCCTCTTGTTCCATCCTCGTCAATCTCTTCCTTTCACTGCATGTCATAGTCATTGTCCGAACATTCAGCGTCTTCTGGATCATCTACGTCATCCCCTTCTTCTTCCAGCCTTCTTCTTCTTCTTCTTAAAAGTGCGTCATATTGACTATTTTCGCACGAGCCATGGCAATACTCGCATATAAGACTGCAATGAAGGCCTTCCTTCCAAAAACCGCGGGCGCCGCGACTTTCTTCAATGCACTTGCATGAGATCTTGCTTAAAATTTCGCCCGTAGCGGGATTTTCCAAGGTAATGATGGGGATGAGGCCATTTCTGCTATTCTACCATCCCCCAGTCACACGCGTATTTCTTGATGATCATCCATTGCTATGTACTTGAGGATAGGAGCATGAAAGTCCGTACATAGCTTTCATACCTAAATTCAGCCTAAGTTTTTTTTTTTCTACTCACCCTTGTAGCCAAACGATCTGAGTAAAAA